CGGTGTGGACGCCAAGTCTGTCCACTGGCCATGTCCTGGTGGGCCAGCAGGGACCCTGCCATCCAGCCCACTTCGGCTAAGTTAGCGGTAAGCACGTGAGCGAGCGAGAGAGAGAGATTCCTGGCCTAACATCAGGTCCGTACCGTGAGCTATTTCACTATTACGAGGGACAGATCCCTGTGCCATGGCAGACCCTGAGTGCCAGTGCTCTGAGGGATTGTGGGGGCTGTCACAGCATTTGGAGGATAAGCAGCTTTTCTCCATCCTCACTTTGGAAAGAGCTCTAAGTCTGGAGAACAGAATTTCATTTTGCCGTAAAGCAGGATCCCTTATCTTCAACAACAATAGTAATAACCACTGTTTATTGCATGCCCACTATTTCTAAGAACCGGGTAGTGTGCACATAGAGCAAATACATGTATGTAAAGATCCTCCAGATGCCAGCTCGCTCGTGACTTGTATCATCAGATCTTCCAGTATCAAACTGGGGCTCAGAGAAGGTAACTAATTTGCCCAGCCTGAAGGATGGTTAAACCTTGGTTGGCATCAGTCACTTTACGGTCCAATATTCCAGGTAGAATTTTGCAAAATGGAGGAAAAGGGCCAAAATATTTTTGGTTATTTTCAGTTTCAAAGTAGGCAAATAACTCTCAGGAAAAGGTCCTAATATCAGCTCCCAAGTGGTAAGTTTAAACAAGTGACTTAGCTGGGGTCTTTTGCTCCTCAGTAATGATTGTGTACCAAGAGCAAAATCATTTTTATTATGAGAACAACTTAGCCTGGTAGTGTAGCATAGTGAGAAATTAAAAAGCAGACAACATGTTGGGCGTAGTGGCCTATACCTGTAATCCCAGCACTCAGGAGGCTGAGGCAGGAGGATCGCTGGGAGGTCTAGGCCAGCCTGTGCTACATAGTGAGTTCAAGGCCAGCCTGAACTACTTAGCAAGACCCTGTCTTGAAAAAACAAACAAAAAGAAAAAAAAAAAAACAAACCTTACTTTTAAACAAAATGACAAAGTGTCCCCAAATCTGAGCCTTTCCACTTAACTGTCTGAATTTGACAATTTATTAAGCTTCTCTGATCTTCAATTTTTACATATATAAAACAAATGCAGCAATAAAGTAATGATGATGGTAACCATAGTATCTATTGCATAGGGCTGTCGGTGATAATGCCTGACACATGATGAGCATAAATATGGATTGGATATCATGAGTGATTAGCAACCCACTGTATTGTCAAAGAGAACAGTCCTGACCCACAGAATGAAGGGATGTGTGCCTCTCTTGATTAACTTTATTTATTTTTTTTGGTACTGGAGATCAAACTTGGGTCCTTGCGCTTGCGAGGCAGGTGACAGTACCACTGAGCTAAATCCGCGACCCTCAACTTTATTTTTTAATGATTTGGGGGAATGGGCATTGCTGTCTGGACCATTATACCTCGCAAGATATTCCTGAGGACTCTGTTATAATAAAAACTATGGGCCGGGCATTTAGCTCAGTGGTTTCGAGGCCTGCTGCACAAACACAAGGACCTGAGTTCGATCCCCAGTTCCAAAAAAAAAAAACTAAAAAGCAAACATTTTATATTAGCACATGTACGGTGCTTGGTGACCACCCAGAGCAAGGACCACTTGGTTAATTAGCATGCTTGCCTTCCAGGATTCCCTGCTGCCCCTCGTCACCAGCTCCAGAATTTGGCCTCTGCAGGTGTGCAGAGTCTGCTTAACTTACTTAGGGTGCATGAGAGAGCAAATCATTTAGATAACAGAGCTGAAAATGTGGACAAATTAGAATTTTCCATTAGCAAGACTGTGAAACCAATTCATGGTGAGAGAGAGAGGTCTTGCGTCAGATACTCCATTGCACAATAACCCTCTTTGCTGGGATCAATATGTATGTGTGCTAATTTAATCAACATACTTGTGAAGGTTGGCAGTGGTGGTGCCTGATAGAACTGATCCTTTGAAATGCTGGCTGAGCTCATGTATGCAGCATTTATATGGAAGAGACTCATCATTTATGTTGAAAATATTATTTTAGGAAGACAACGCTGCCCAAGAGAAGATAGAAAAGCTGGCAGGATGGGAAGTAAAGGGCTTCTTTTCTGTGGGACTGAAAAACCTAAATTTATGGGATTAAACTGCCTTCCTTTGGAAAAATATATGCAAGATGTGGCTTAGATTTTCCCCCCCTCTTTGATTCTGTAAATTGGGTGATGGGACGGGCTCTTGTGGATTGCTGGATTAACTGGAGAGATGCCTAAGTGTCCCACTCCCTTCTGCAAATGTTTGCTTTCTGGAAATATCAACACATGTGAGTGAGTGATGAGCTTGCACCCGGAGGGCTTGCTTTTGGAGCAGCTGGGTTTCAGTCATTTCGTAAGGAGCACTTACAAAGGAACAAGTGAGCACAGAGGGCTGAGCCAGGACAGCAGTTTGATCTGACCTGGGAGAATTCTGAACCTGTCTGGAGAAACCTTTCCATCCCTACCATGACACTTCTAGTGATGCATAATCCAATTCTTGAGCCAGCACTGCCCACCAGAGCTCAGCACAAACACAGTGGAACAGGGACACTCAACTTGTTCTTAGTCCACTCATCCTAAGCTTCGTGGCTCCATACAGCATGTGACGTCAGAGCCTGGGTACCCCTGAGATCCGAGAGACCTTGGAACTTAAGCAAGGCCAATCACCAAGGAGACAGGAGCCTGACTCGGACCAGCAGTCCTGTAACCATGGCACCAGACTGCAGGTCTATGCTGCTCTCACCAGGCCATGAGCCATCCCAAAGCAGCAATGCTGGGCCGGGGTTTCTGCCTGCCAAAGCAGACATATCTTCCACTTTGAGGACACTGGAACCCTCAGCAGGCACTTTGGTCACTGGCTTAAGCATCATTCGCTCATGATTCACAATCCGCTAAGAGCCAGCCAGGTGATCAACAATATGTCATTTTCAGTTTGATCCAGATACAGTTTTGCTCATTGCTTCCCGTGCGGCCTCCCCGGGGCCTTTGTATTTGCCTAAAGGCCTAACCACATATGCTTGGTCTCCCCACTCTTAAAGAGGGGATGAAGCTAATTCATGAAAGGCCCAAATTGAAGATGAGCGTTGTTCTCGCTGCCTCAGATAGTTCTGCTGCTGGCATAAACTGGGGCCTCAAGAGGTTTGCTTATCTCCAGTTTCTGCAACAACAGCTTGAGTGGAAACACTGGTGGAAGCAGCTCCATGTTGGTCTTTATTTCACATATAAATTTATTTCTGTTCAATAGGTGGTCCAAGTGCTTTGTGTTGTGTAATTATCCTACTCCTGGTGGGTCAGGGTGAAGGAGACTCGTTCTCATTACAGCCTAACCCATGTGGGAAAATCCAGACAATAACTCTCAGCTGATATCACCTTTGAAAATTTCTTACTGCTTGGCTTCTGTGAGTCTGGAAAATGCCGGGCCTAACTCTTCCTCCTGAGCAGTGCAGTCAGTCTGTGGCACAAACCTTTCCCTTGACTGTGTTAAAAATATTAGAAGGGCCATTAAAGATGATGCATGATTTCATATTTCCTAAAGAAAGTGAGGCAGACTTGCAAATGACAATGTTTGCTAAATGCAACCTCAAACATACTAAGTTGCATAACCCAGAATATACCTATTAGAACTATTATCGGGGTGTGGATTAGCTCCGGATTATACCAGTCCCCATTGCGGGGAGTTAGCAGGACCCATAGTTTCTAAGGAGGTGGCTTCTTTTGTGCTCTAAGTATTGAGTACAGCATCACATCATATCCGAAGTACACATCTGCAGAAATTCTCTCGGGATGTGAGGTTATATTAGAGGAGCAAGGAGTGGGTATTGCATCACGTGATATCATGTGTCATTGCTCCGTGTGAGGCATGGAGGGAAGCAGAAACTGTATAAAAAGGAAGTAGACTCAGGCACTTGCGGTTGAGTTTGTGTGCATAATTTAGCTGATAATCTGACATGATATCCAGCAGTGAAAACCATGGAAAGTAAAGGAAGCAGAATGGAACATTCCAGGTAAAACGGTGACCATGGCCAGGCTGTCTGAACACCTCAGATTGGTCCTCTTTATCTCACAAGTAAATTTGGTATTATAGATGCTCTAAGAACTTTCTTTTGTCTAGTTATCCTATTCCTTAAATTACTATTTAAATTCTTTATTATGCTCTCACTCAAGATATAATGTGTTTGCCTAGAAATGTGCTGTGCCATATTTGAGAACACTGGTTTAATGTATGCTAATTATTTGATTAGTCTTCCAGCATGAGGTATCTTTAAATAAGCGGGTGAATAGACACATGCACACTGTACCAAGAAATCAACTTCAAACACACGAAAAACTAAGCAGAACCATATCCTACTTGTCATGATTCATCACTATTAAATTCAGATGAGATATTAACTTATGGCTGAAAGATTTTGACTGTATACAAGTGAAGTACTTTTTAATAGATGACAACTACGTTAATCTTTTTTAAAGATGAATAAAGAATTATGAACTTACCATCATATGTAAACCACCAGTATTTTGAATTGGACCATTTTCCTGAGTACACCTGACTTTTTTGAGTATATTTTTCTCAACCAGCTACAAGACTCAGCCAAGACAGACTAATGACCTTTTAAAAATAATGATGGAAAGTGATATCGGAGGAAGCATTTTACTATCTGCTTTGCTCTGAGCCTTAAACTGCGAACTCTCCAGTTCTTGAAGGCATTGAAATGCTGATTCCAGTCTTCTTGTGGGTTCTTAAACACCTTCTCAAATGACCCATTTTAATAACCCGAAAGCTATTATATAACGAGCAGCCATAATTTAGTCCAGGGCTCTAGGGGGACCCTCACAGTTCAGCAATGAATAGTTAATGCAGTATAATGTTTAGCAGGTTATTAGTTTTCACTATACAAATGCTGATCAGGGAACGCTTTTATAAGGTGTTTAAAAGAAAATGTAATTAACTGGTTGCGTGCTTCTGTTGCAGCTCAAATTGAAATTATTCCATGCAAGATCTGTGGAGACAAATCATCAGGAATCCATTATGGTGTCATTACATGTGAAGGCTGCAAGGTAAGCCTTTTCAATTGTTGTTGTTTCTATTAATGTTACAATGTAGCTCTCTGGTTTCTATTTTTTACTAATATGTTTTAAATTTCAACTCCTCAGAATTCTGAGTGATGGGAAATGACAGGATGGAGCAAATATTGAATATTAAGTTACAATTAACCACTCACCAGTCCAATTGTTTAAATACAGGGTGACCAAAAATTGCATATTTTTTGTTAACTTTTATGATACAACAGGAAATATAAAAATGACAATTATATCACATTTATTCAGTACAAGAACTGACTAGTCGAAATGACGCTTGCCCGAGCAAAACTCAGGATAGTCAGTATGTAAACAAACATGATGCTGGGGGTAAAATGTTAAGTGGTTAAAGAAGCTATGTGCTTTTACTCCTTCCCAGAGAGGATCTGGAGACTGAAGAAAGGTTTTGAGCTTTGTTTATGTTTGCCACTTCCAGTCCTTGAACTGACTGAAGCAATGAGCTGTCTGGTTATCTTTTGTAAAATCTAGACTGCTATCCTGCCCCTGCTACAAAGTGTCTAAAAAGGTATTTCCAGTAAGTTTACTCAATTTGTTTGAGTCTCACTGTTCACTACACACGTTAACACATCCAATTGGTTATGGGAAGGCCTCCCGGAAGAACTGAATGCTAGAGCTGGTGCCGCCATTTGCCCACACGGTTCTGTGCATGTCTTTACCTTCTGGTGACCCTGTTTCTTCATCTAGGGAGTGGGTATGACACCAGTCTCCCTACCTTCTAAGGCTGTTCCAAGAACAGAATGAGCAACTGTAAATCACGTGGGAATGGAAAATAAAGATGTTTACCCTAAGAACTCAGGACTACCCCTCCCACAACCCAGATTGCCTGTCATTTAAATTTCAATTTATTAAGATTTAAATCCTCCTGCTTATATTGGAAGGGCCTTGAGACAGCTTATAGGATAAAACAGCACAAAATAAATAGGAGAGGAGCTATTTAAGCATGCAGGAGGCCTCTGAGACAGCTGATTGCTACAATCAGGCCTGAATTAGCCCTCAGGCTTTTTGCGGTTGAGGCAAAAAAATAAGATCCACAAATTTGGGTTGCTTTCCTTTAGTGAAACCAGAAAGTACAATGTCATAAAATTCAAAATCACCTACGGACACAAATAATTACTGAGACTTTGGGGAAATTAGCCTAATACTGTCTTTAATTCTTCATTTTACTGTTAATCATCCTAACCTCCTAATTTCTTTCGATTCTTCATTTCACTGTTAACCACTGTAACATTTGGGAATGTGTACCTATATCCGTGCTTCACACTCACCCCAATTTCATGAAGCTGGAGATTTCTGCACACCACCACACACACTTAATCCATTTTTTAAAAAATTACCTGCCTTTCAGGAGTGAGGAACTTGCTATTGCAAGGTGGTTTTGAGTTATGCTTCTCTGTGATAACCCTCAGTGCCTGTGGTTCTGGATTACCAAGAATAAATGTCACACCCTTTTCTTCTTCACTCTGCCCTCCCTCAAAATTAATTAAGGATTGAGAGGATGATCTGCCCGTGGCAGCTGTCACCCCATTGATTTTCAGAGTTGATCTGGCTGTCCTTCACCCGCATCTTAAGCGTGTCCCAGCTAGAATAACAGGCCTTTCTCATGAAGGGCAGCTACACAGCGCCACTTGGCTCTTAGCCCTGGGCACCATCCTGGACCCCAGGTCACTACTTGTCCCTTATTCTTCCCAAGAAAGGGACTGATCCCTCTGAGTCCCGCCTGCAAACTGCACGGTCTGGGAAGTGAGTCTAGGGGAGGGGGCGACTCTGTATGGAATATTCCAGCAAGTTGAAAGGTTAATGAATGACATGCTATTCGGTAAAACCTGAATTGAGTGTTTACATATGTATAATGCAGGCACTTTTGCCCCATAAGAAAAAATAAAAATAAGAAAACTAAGGGCAGCTACTACTCCATAGTTATGCTTTTTCTAGATTCCTTGCCAGATCCTGTCCCCAAAGGCTCATTGCCAAAGTGGTTTTCAGTTGTCCATGGTTCTTTTCCTCCGCTCTATGGATTTCATACAAGGGAAGGCACTGAACAAAATGATTTTATTAACAGACTGGGACCGTGTCCAGTCTGGGACTTATTTAATGTTTCTTTGTGACACATACAGTATTTGTTCTGCATTACAGTTTCGCTCTGCTTTAACATTTTTTATTCCTAGTTACACTGAAGTCAAGAGATTTCTGCATGGATGTTATTTATTATGTTCTAACCAGGTGAAGTTGGTTATATCATGATGAATTATAAATAATTATGTCTGTGATAGTATAATTGGACATAAGGAAATTTCTAATTAGATACATCAACTAGATACCTAATGAGAGAAAAAAAGTGACTATTTCCTGAAGAAATCATGTTATGAGTGTATTTTCGATTGCATTTTAAAATCAACAACCTGAAACCCTAAGAAACTGGAAACCCTATTTGATTGCTGGGATAGTTAGGATAGTTATCTGTTTCCCACACATTTGCCTGGGGGAAGCAGCCCCTTTGCCCCCTGCTCACTGGGTCTCCTTTGCTGCCAGGACAGTGACAGTCTGGTGCTGTGCTCTGACTGCCCCCAGACTGGCTGGGTTGGAGTCCCCACTCAGCCTTTGACCAATGTGAGCACCTTCCAGGTGCTCTGGACATCAGTCGGTGCCGTCTGTCACTGAGGACAGCAACTGTCACTGTTTCAGAGTTACCGTGCATGTTCAGGTAAAGTGTGCAGAAAGTGCCAGTTATGTCGCAAGCAATGACAGAGAACCAGGCCAAACCCCTTAGTGCCTTGGTAATGTTGCTCGGTATGGTCCGATAGTATTGCAGCCACTGGCACTTTCTTGTAAAGAATCTGCCAGTAAACAGTAAGTCAAACATGGTGGCACACACCTGTACACTCAGCTACTCGGCAAGCTGAGGCAGGGAGATGGCAAGGGTGAGGCCAGCCTAGGCAACTTAGAGAGACCATGTCTCAGAATGAAAAATAACAGTTGTGGAGGTAACTAACCTGCTACTCCCTAGGTTCAATCGCCAGTACTGGAAAAAAAGAAAAACGATGTAGAGAGGAGCACTCCAGTGGGACCAAGAGCTAATCCCTCCTTTGAGCAGTTTCTAGCCTAGTGGAGATGCAGCCCACACAGGGAGAGGTAAACACAGGCACCAGAACTAAACTGGAGTCTGGCCTCGTCTGTAACGTGACGCAGCAGTGCATGTCCACGCGGCGGTCTGTCCGGGGATGGAAGGCGAGAGGGGTGGCAGAGGCGCAGCACAGGGGAAGTCTGGGTGGCATTTACTGGATTTGGGGAACATGTGGAACCAGTCTGATGGGAGCAAAGGGCCGCTTTCTGGGCACAGCGGAAGACAAGAGTAGGTAAGTTTGCCTTCCCCCAAGTTGTAAGGCTCCACTATGCAAATCTTTTCTCAGAAATGTATTTTACTACTTGTTTTGGCAAAACGAGGAGACAGACTGGGAAGATTCAGAGAGGCACAGGTCAGGACACAGGGCTGCAAGGGTTTTGTGCTGTCGAGAGCATCCTGGGGCTGGTTAGCATGGACTCCCAGCTCAGGAGGGGAGGTGGAGGGGCGGGCAGAGGAAAAGACCACAGACTCACTACGGCCTGCGGGTGGAGGGTCGGGCCTCAAAGCGAACAGAAACATGATGTGTTTAAAAATCCCAATCGTTAGTCAAGGTGTCCTTTGGAGAAGGGCTATGACCTGTCATTCAGTCTCAGTTCCTGCCTTCACAATGAGATACAGTGACAGCTGGCATGATAATCCACACACACTTTTTATCTACCTCCCTTTAGGCTTTTTAAACTATACATTTTTTCATGGTAATGTACAATGCAGTATCTGGGCTAATGAATTGGTTTCTGATTACATTTAAGACCCTTTGCTCTTGCTGAGTAAAAAATAGCAGCATTCATTTGTCAAAGGATTTAGTCATCAATTAATACATCTAAAACACAAAACACAAGGTCCTCTGAAAAGCGTCCTCTTCCAGGCAGTAAAGAGAGAATGTGAATCATTTCCTTGTATTAATATTCTCTTCAAATAACAATAGAAAGCCTTTTCAAAGACACCTAGTGTCTATAATTGATACTTTTTTTTCCCCATGCAAAGAAATGGGCAAAGCAACTTCTGGCGCTTTTTGTGTATTAGGTTAAAGAGAAATTGCCATAAATGTGCTTTTTAGCCCCAAGTTCTTTTTCAGTGAATTCTGATATTTTTACTTAAATTGTGAAACTGCCCCTGAATCTATTGGGCCCACTTTTGAGCACTGATGTATTCATGCTCAGGATTAAAGCTGGCCCAGGGAGGGCCCCTCACGCTTGTCTGAGAAGCAGTGACTGTTCTCGAGGTCTTTGCCCAGGTCGGATGTGAATGTGACAAATCTCAGGCAAAACAAACATCCGGACTCACCAAATATGCCCTGAGAGGTCAGCTTTCACAGTGTGAAAGGTCAGCTTTTCATTTGTGCAAACAATTCTGCAGGGAGGCCAGTCATGGATGGAGCAAGAGTGGACTTTGGGAGATCTGAATTTCCGTGATTTACTGTGGCCAGATGTATGATGGTTAGACTCCCCCCCCCCAACCTCGGTAACCAGAGATCGAACTCAGGACCTTGCACTTGCAAGGCAGGCACAGCACCTCTGAGCTAAATCCCCAGCCCTGCAGATGTACGATTGTGGTGCGGCATCGGCTAACTTTTGCAAACAAGATTGACTGTTCTCTTCTTCCTCATTTGCTTCTTAGGGGACTATTATTCCTGTCTCCTACCCCATTTTCATTTTATCATCTCCTCGATCTTAATCTAGACAGGCATGCCTCTCTTTCCCCCTTGGTAAAACTGGGTTACCCTCTTGCCACCTTTATCCAGATAGGTAACTTTCTCCCTATATTTCTTCTTCCTCACCCTCATACTTCTATACATTCTCAAGAGAAGTTCCCACGAGAGAGAAAACTGGGGCATTTC